TGGCTCTCTTGGAAGATGAGTGTTCCATATCAGAAGCTGAAAATGGCATACATGCTGACCTTCCCACCGTTGCTGTAACTCTTGGAGATCGAAAGCGTCTTTTGAATCTGTCTAAGATTGCTGCCATGGCAGGTACCGATCTACTTGTCCCATGTATAGGCCAACTTTTCCTGATATAGTTCCTGAACTTCCAATTTAAGAACAGTTGACTGTAGCCTAGTTCTTGCACCCAACGGGTTCAAGTAGTGATCGGAGTTAATGATTTTTTCGAATACCAAAATTGGCCGCCTTCAAGATCGCCACAAACATTTTGCCTAGCTTGTGAATTTCCTAAGTTTTTGTTTTGCTCTGCAAGCCTGCATGGGGTTAGTCATGTTTTTTGCTGGCGTGCCCGTCAAGTCACCCATTCGAGTTGGATGGATTCCAAAATTTTCTTTCACACAATTGCCTGACTTTCCAATATCCATTGCGAGCAGATAAAAGTGTAGATCATCAGTCAAAGGTGAAGCGTATTGAAGCAGATTCGAAGATGTTGAAGTTGCAGGTAATGACAACGTTCTTTAAGAAGCACTATCTGCCACTATATTAATGTCGTTATGAATTATATGATTGACAATATGCAAAAACAAAAAAAAAAATCTCTATCGTCTGTCTGTCGCAGGAAGAGATAGTGGGAACCCTAACAGCAGAAGCAGAGCTGACCGGTGGAGAGGACCGTTTATTCCGACCAGAGGAGCTCATCGAGCTCTGCCTCAAATCCGGAACCCGCGACCTTGCGTTGCTTGCATTCGAGGTCTTTGCATGGACCAGCTCGTCGTTCCGCGAGACCCACAGGAGCCTCCTGGAGGAGTGCTGGAGGAACGCTGCCAATCAGGACGACTGGGGAGGGCTCCAGCAAGCATACGCGGACCAAGGGTGGAGCGACGAGGAAATGCTGCGGCAGCTTAGGGAGACCGTCCTCTTCCAGGCTTCCAGCCGGTGCTATGGTGCCAATGCCGAGACCATCGAGGATGAGTTCCACTCGGTGCTACCTCTGAGAAAAGAGGACGTGGATTCTGCTGGGGCGGAATACTCGGTGGAGACATTGCTGATGCAGCACAATGACTTCCCCGAGGCCGGGAAGCTGATGCTTACTGCCGCCGTGTTGGGTGCCGTACAAGAGGATGTAGTGAAAGTAGACGAGAGTTCTCCGATGGAGTGAGTAGTGTCATACGATAATTACTTTACAATTGGCGCTTTGTTTTGTAGGTAGAAATGAGGTCTTCTTGTTTGGGCTGTTTTTGCGGCGGCAGTGAAAATGGTTTCGGATTTGGGCGTCATTGGCAGAAATGTTGCGGCGAAGCTTTTTATCGATGGATTCCTGTTTCGCACTCTGACTTCATTACTTGCTCTTATAGTTAGAGGTGGCAATTAATTCATGGATCAGTGGATTAGATCTATGGATAATTCAAATGACATCTAAGTATTTGATCAATATGTAAATTTTGGAAAGTTTGGGATGTTAAAATGTTATGATTAAAAAATTTTGAAATGTAATTTTTCACAAATATTTTTTGTATAAAAAATTAAATTTTGGGTACCAAAAATGTAAAATATGAAAAGTATAGGTATCAAATTGTAATTTGTTACAACCGACATGAAAAATACCTCAATACTTGTATTAAAACACAACCACACACAAATCATTCAATTCATACAAGTATTCACATAATTCTAGCTAGGGTCTGCAAACACTCAAGTGAAAGAAAGGACTAGTCCGTGCTAAGAAGGATTACACAAAGGAGAAGAGAAGAGACCATCATGAGAGGGTTGCCTTGTTCCTTTGGTGTCGAGATTAACCTTTGAGGATGAGAATCCCAATCTTGGAGTTTGGATGAAACCCTAACCTTCTTCTCTTCTTTTGTTCGTCACTTTCTCTCTCTAAAAATCCGAAGAAGAAAAAGTTTCTCACACTAGGTTCTCCCTCCTTCTCTTTCAGCTCATCCCTCCTCTTATACCCAAATTGACGACTTTTCACAGTCCCAGTTCACGGCCGTGAACTATAGGCCTGGACCGTGATATTCTGCAAAAGCACGTCGTTTCATTAAAGCTCTTCATGGTCTGGAGCTGATTATCACGGTCGAGGGGCCGTGAACTGCTGAATGCTCGCGAGATGGACGAAACTCTCTTGGACTCCTCGCGCTTCACAGCTAGCGCCTTGTCTTCACAGTCTGGCTGGCTTTGATCTTCTGGCCTCCCCCGTGAACTTTTGCTGTTTGCTCCCTTTTGATCCGTTTTCGCCTTTTTTCATCCAACTTTCGTTCCAAAGGTTGATTTCACCTGTTAGGATCTAAAACATGCTAAAAACAAGCACAACCTAGCGTAAAATCGAACCTCACAATGTAAAAGTGCCCCAAACATCTAAGGAAAATAGGGTAAATGTGTACAATTAGACCCGAATCACTCCCTCGCACTTAGACGTTTACTTGTCCCCAAGCAAACCAATTTCAAACAATGTAATATCTCAACCTAACAAGATAACTTGGGGACATTTCAAAAGGGCTCAAAGCGGGGTGAATCTCAATGGCTATTGGGCATCAACACATGAACCGTTACAAGCAATACCGACATCCACCACACCCGGCAATGATGCATAAAAATTGACTCGTCCCGAATATCACAATAAGAATCTCGAACAAGGACCAAGTATAAACCTTAACCGGGTGCAATATAGGGCAAGTATGTTTTAAAAGTCAAATGCGGGCCTGTCCATGTCCCCCTACTTCAACTATTATAAACATTATCTAGCAATCGAGTTTTGGTTGAAACTATGAACTAAAATTGAAAACAATTGGAAAATGTAACTGGTTTTGAAGACTAGTTGAGAAGGCTTCACCTGGGTGTTGCTCCCTCTAGCTAGTAATCACGATTTGTTGGACAGTTTGCAAGTGTGTGGTAAAAGCAGTTGTAAACCGTAGGGAAGCGCAACAAGTGAACAAGCTTCACTCTCTCGGTCACTAGGCCAAGGGATATCAAATCAAGCTACCAAGGTAGCACTCTTGGCCAATCGAATAAGGGTTTCTTAGGGCTTCTCTCTCGAACCGTAGTGCGGACAACCAAAATACGACCTATCTGAGGTGCTAGTACGTAGTTTGAGGTTGTCGTAATTCAACCTAAGTAGGTGACACAGTTTGGCCAAGAAATTCCAGCTTTTACAAGCCTCTTAGCAAGATAGGGATTTCCCTCAACCAACGTAGATTTCTCTCTCTAGAAATCTAAAGAAGAAGAAGAAGAAGAAGAAGAAGAAGAAGAAGAAGAAGAAGAAGAAGTTTCTCACACTAGGTTATCCCCCCTTCTTTTCCAGCTCACACCTTGAAGATTGACAATTCTGCAATTCCGATCTGGGTCAGGCTTTCGGGTCTTCCAGCGGAATTGACTTCGAGAGAAGGTCTGGGTAGACTGATGAGTACCTTAGGTAAACCTTTATGTACTGATTTACCAACTCAAAAGGGGGATAAGGTGGGTTCTGCGTTAGTCTGTGTGGATGTATCGACATCCTCCCCACTGGTTGATCATATCAGTTTCACTCCAAATGACTTGGAGGAAATGTTTGTGTCGGTGGAATATTGTGGAAAAAATCTCAAAGTACATAAGTTCTTAAAAAAAAATCCCAAAATACATAAGTTATAAATTTTTTTCCAAAAGTACACATGTTTCACATTCCCCGTTTTTGACAAATGCAGTGAATACAATAACCGCGTTTGACAAACACGGTGAACATTTCACCGTTTTTTAATAAAACGATGACGTGTTCACCGTCTTTGTTTAAAACGGTGAGTATCGAGTGAGCCATTCACCGCTTTAAACAAAAACGGTGAAAACATCACCATTTTAATTAAACGCGGTGAAGTTCTCCCCATTCTTTACGTCCACGATGAATGCGATGCGGATCGCTGACGTGGACAAACGCGGTGCATTCACCGTTTTAGACAAACACGATGAATGCACAGCGTTTGTCCACGTCAGCGATCCGCGTCGCGGGTCCACTCACCGCAGTTGTCAAATGCGGTGAGGCGCGGATCGTGGTTTTCTTCCCAGATCCGACGCCTCACAGCACGCCACGTCGCTCGATCCCCGTCAATCACCATTCTCGATAAAGGCGGTGAATTCACCGTCTTTGTTAAAGGCGGTGATATCCCCCCAGTAATTTTGCGCATATCCCTCCCCTCCCTCACTATAAATAGAACTCTTCCCTCGTCTTCCAAATCACACCACCACATTTACACTTCTTTCTCCCTCAATCTATCCACTCTAGTCTCGTTCTAAGTATGCTCTGTGGTTGCGGCTAAGTCCGATCTTCCACATCAGAAAGAATTACTAGAGTTATATCATAAGCCCCCGTCCCTTATAAACCCGTCGAACCTCTGTCCGGCTTCCGCCAAAAAATGGATGAAGAGGCTCTTCGGGTAGGTTTTTTGTTTTTCTTTTGTGATTTTTTTTAATCGAAACAATTTGATTTTGTGATTTCTTTTAATCAAAACAATATGATTTCATTACTTTTTTTTATAGATGGGTGCCGAGATATACGATCCTCGATTGTATATCCATTATGACCCAAGAGATACGAGGTATTTAACCGATCAACAAGCACATCGCTCCCGTGCTATTTGGATAACAATCCGGTAAATTGATGATTTATCTTGTTTTATTTTATTATTTTCTAAGATATTATTTTGCTTTCTTTAAACTAATAAATTGATGTTTTTCCTATTTTTTGTAGGAATCACTTATTCCCGTCATTCATAAAGAGACCACAAACTTGCCCGCTTGGCATGTGTAACATCCCTGCCCTCGTACTAATTATTATGACGTGTTTGTGATCGAGTTACAAAATTGGTCTTTCGAACCAAAAAGAAAGTGAATAGTGAAAGTTTTAGACTTAATTGCAAGTGAAGGAAAGTTTAGGGCCAAATAGACAATTTGGAGGGATGGAGGATTCCTCTTATCTCTCATTTCCTTCTCATCCCTTCCCCTCACTCTCTCCCACGTCCCTCTCTTGCTCTCTTTCTTTCACCTGGTTTCACCACCTCAAAAACCACCACCCCCTTTCAGAAACAAAGAGTGAAAGGTAGAAAGAAAAGCGTATCAAGGAGAGGAAGAGGAAGAGGAAGAAGAAGGAAGCAAAGGGGGTGCTGCCAATTTCCGTCCAGCAGCAGGACAGCCTGTGAGAAGGACGATTCCGTACATTCAAGCCGTTGGATCGTCCTGAGATTTGTAGGTTGGTTTCATACTTATTTTTCTACGATTTGACCGTTGGGATCATCGATATGATCTCTGGTTCATCGAGGAAAGTCGCTGGACAGAAGGGGTGCGATACTGTTTTTCTGTAGCAGGACAGTAGATTAGAGGTAAGATCATGTGCTAATCCGTCGTTGGATCATTCTAGAAATTTGGTATGAGGTTAAGTATATGTGTTTCTTCGAATTGACCGTTCAGAATGTAGTTTTGATGTTGGAGTGGTCAGGAACAATTGTTAGAAGAAGGGGAGTTGGTTTTAAAGTGAAAAGAAAGTTGTTGAAAGTTTTGAAATGTCAAGTTAAAATGATTGCTGGGATCAAAAGGCTGATCCAAATGGTCTGAAATTTGGATATGTTGTAGCCCTATGAATCTAGTTTCAGTAGCAACGAGAATCAACGGATTTGGTTAAGTATCAAGGGAGAAATGATCAAAATGAGGAAGCATGGTAAAGTGTACAATCGTATACTTCCCTAGTGGTCTTATTGACATGCATGAATACAACCATGATTATGATGATTGTATACGTGTCTTGGTGCTTGAATAACCTGGAAAATTTGTATATAAAGGTAAGGATCAAGCCGGGGGCTCATCCAAAGGCAAGGGCATAGCCGAGTGAAGACAAACTGTGAGTAGATTCTAATCTTAGATCTACTTCAACATAATCACAGTATTCGGGTCATGAAGCTGCCCGAATACATATCGGGGTCATGAAGAGGCTCCGGTATAATATGGGAATTTATGGGAAATGATATGGCTATGTGATATGGCTTATTTGTGTTTATTCATTATCTGCGTTTGGTATGAAGTTGGAAATGCATGAATTGTGAATGGGATATGGAAAGACATTTTGTTGATTGATTGTGTGGATTATGAGTAAATATTCGAACTTGCGAACCCGTCTTGTCTGTTTAGATTTGGAGTAAGCCATTAGGCTTACTAATCCTGTTCTGCTTGAATAACTCGGAGTCAGCTCCTCAACTTACCTTCCATTATGTGGTGACTGAGGGTGCAAAAGCACTATGAATGCTTTTGAGCCTATAGTGTCTATGTGAACTATTAATAAAAAGGAGGTGAATACATAAGAATAAGTAAAAAGGTTTTATGATACCTCGGTACAGTAGTGTGTCCTGTTTGTATCGATGTGGGTAAACCCCACGATACTCATGTTTGAGCGCTCGTGCTTCACACCGTGCCGATTGGGTGACGACCCACGGTACTCCGGTTCTGTTCAGTTAGCCGGGCTGGGGTAATCCCGTGGCGACTCCTGTTTTTGTATCGGTCCGGGTTGTGTCCCGCGATATTCCTGTTGGTGCGAGCACTCCTGTTTCGTGCCTTGAGCACTCCTGTTTCGTGCCTTGTGCACTCCTGTTTGTACCGGATGGGGTTTTGTCCCGCGGTACTCCAGTTATCTGATGGTTGTACATGGTTATCCTGCAGCCTTCCACTACTGTACTACCCGAGGAGTATATCATTTAGCAAATTTGAAAGTGAAATTGTATAAGCAAAATGCCTCTATCTATCACACGTTGTATGTGTTTGACTGTGATGAGTTGTGAATATGGGAACTTGATTGATTCAGTGGAATGAAAAGTAGAATAAACAGCTTAAGTCCTGTTATGTGCTAGGGTGTTTCTGCCCAATACTGTTTTTGTATTGATGTCGATCTGAGCTTAGAATTTATTCACTGAGCGACGACTCATCCTTCGTCATCATTTTTCCTCAGATCAAGATCAGAAGTAAGGTTTGTACTGTAGATATCGGGACTCAAGCGTGAAGGGAAGCCATGAGGTGGGCGGAGGACTCCGAACTCCTTAAATGTTTTATGTTGTGTGGATTTTGTAATAAAGCGGACTTCCCCGGCTTTCTGTTTTGACTGTGATGAAAATGTAAATTATGGTTTGAAATTTGAAAAAAAAATATAGGTAAAGCTCGGGCCCGAGAATGTTTAAACTCGATGTATTTTACTGTTTCGTTTTGTAATATAAAGTAAGGGTTTCACATTTTTGGTATCAGAGCTGGGATATGATCCCGTGGATACCAAACGTTTTAAACGAGATTTTACTGGGAAAACTTAAATGATTTCACGGGGAAGTGACTAATTATTGATTTTGACTTTGTATTTTGTTTTTGTGGAGTTCAGTCAAGGAGCAGATCCGCAACCTCACGGGAACCCTAATGCTGGAGGTTCTAATTCTAATGGGAATAATGTTGAGTCCCGCAATAGAGCCAATCCTTATGTCAAGGATTTTGAAAGGCTGAGGAATATGGGGGCTGAGTTCTTTAAAGGGGCTATTGACCCTAAAGATGCTCTGGACTGGATCAAGGAGATGGAACGAATCTTTAACCTCCTTGAGTGTCCTGATGAAGCAAGAGTGGAGTATATGTACTACCTGCTTAGGTCTGATGCTTATGACTGGTGGTTGACCGTACCCGGGGCTCAGGATCGTACAATTCGATATACCTGGGCGGAATTTCTTGAGAAATTCCGTAAGCAATATGTGTCTGATCTGTATGTGGATAGGAAGAAGAAAGAGTTTCTGGACCTGAAACAGCAAAGGGGGCAGACTGTTAAAGAGTATGATGCCATTTTTCATCGTTTGATGACCTTCGCGATGGAGTTGGTACCTACTGAACAAGCTAGATGCAACCGCTATGAGCAAGGCCTGAATCCCCAGATCAAGATGATAGTAGCAAAATCAGAGATGACTGATCTTGCCACCTTGAGAGAGGCTGCCATGAGAGCAGAGGATTTGGTGAATGAATTGGGAGCACAGATGGCTGAAGGAACGAAGAGAAAGTGGAAGAACGTGGGTTCCTCGAGTGCTGGGAACTCATTCGGGGGTAGACCTAATCAGAGTTCGAAGGTTTCACGTCCAGTGGCCAGTTACCCCGGACAGGAGCGGAGAAGTGCAGGCCCAACTCCTATTTGCCCACATTGTGGGAATCAGCATATGGGTGTTTGTAGGAGGGTGACTGGTGGGTGTTTCCGATGTGGAGACACCAGCCACTTTCTCCGTGATTGTCCCCACATGTTAGAGTCCAGGCCTGCTGGATCCCAGACCACAATTCAGGGGTCCAGAAGGACTGGAGGTCCAGTGAGAGGATCTGGAAGAGGTGGTAATAATCGTGGCAAAAGTCAGGGTGGACAGAGCAGTCGGGGTGAAGTGCAGCCACGAGCCTTTGCTACGACTAGGAGGGAGGCTGACATCTCTCCAGAGGTCGTTACTGGTACGGTTCTTATCTACGATCTTACCGCTTATGCGTTGATTGATCCTGGTGCCACTCATTCATTCATATCTTCTGCATTCTCACGTGGGTTGCCTGTGCACTCTGAAATGTTGAACAAGAATGTAATAGTTCAAACCCCAGTAGGAGATACCGTAGTGATTGAATATGCCTATTCTAATGCCCCAATAAGTCTAGCTGGAACTATTCTGCCAGCTAACTTATTGAGGTTAATGCTGACTGAATTTGATATAATTCTAGGAATGGATTGGTTAAGCCAACATAAAGCCGTAATGAACTGTTATACTAAGGAAGTAATTTTCGAAAGACCAGATGGTCAGAATGTGATTTTTCGAGGGACTAGACAGGTGGTGCCTAGTTGCCTAGTCTCGGCCACCAAGGTGGTGAGTTTGATGAAGGAAGGCTGTGAAGTGTATCTGGCTTATGTGACTGAGGGCAAACCGGAATTGAACCCTGAAAATGTTCCGGTTGTGAAGGAGTTCCTGGATGTGTTCCCTTCGGGACTGCCAGGATTACCTCCGGAAAGAGAAATAGATTTCACTATTGAACTGATACCGGGCACTGCTCCGATCTCTGTATCTCCGTACCGGATGTCTCCGTTTGAACTTAAAGAACTGAAGGAGCAACTTCAAGAGTTGCTAGATAAGGGGTTTATTAGACCTAGTGTCTCCCCTTGAGACGCTCCGGTATTATTTGTGAAGAAGAAGGATGGAACTTTTCGTTTGTGTATTGACTACCGGAAGCTCAACAAGTTAACGGTTAAGAATAAATATCCGTTACCTCGAATTGATGATTTATTTGACCAACTACAAGGATCGAGGGTCTTTTCCAAGATCGATCTAAGATCAGGTTATCATCAATTAAGGGTAGCGGATGAGTCCATACCGAAGACAACTTTTCGTACTAGGTATGGGCATTACGAATTTCTTGTTATGCCTTTCGGGTTGACTAATGCTCCAGCTGTGTTCATGGCACTGATGAACCGAGTGTTTCAGGAATATCTAGATAAGTTCGTGATCGTCTTTATTGATGATATTCTAGTGTATTCTGGAAGTGAAGAAGAGCACAGGGAGCATTTGAGAATCGTACTGCAGATTCTGAGGGAAAAGCAGTTGTATGCTAAGTTCAGCAAATGTGAATTTTGGATGGATCAAGTAGTATTTTTGGGCCATGTGGTGTCTGAGAGAGGTATAGAGGTGGATCCAAGGAAAGTAGAAGCAGTGATACAATGGGAGCCACCGAAAAATATACCTGAACTAAGAAGTTTCCTTGGCATGGCCGGATACTACAGAAGGTTCATTGAGGGGTTCTCTCTGATTGCTGCACCATTGACAAAGTTACTGAGGAAAGAGCAACCTTTTATATGGGATAATAAATGTCAATCCAGTTTCGAAGAGTTGAAGCGGAAGTTAACCACTGCACCGGTTCTTGCCCTTCCCTCAGGAACTGGAGGTTATGTGGTATACAGTGATGCTTCGCATCAAGGGTTAGGATGTGTTCTCATGCAACATGGTAAAGTAATTGCTTATGCTTCCAGGCAATTACGATCGTATGAGAAATCTTATCCGACTCATGATTTAGAACTGGCGGCTGTGGTATTTGCCTTAAAGATTTGGCGTCATTATTTGTATGGTGAGACTTTTCAGATCTTTACCGATCATAAGAGTCTCAAGTACTTGATGGAGCAAAAAGAGCTAAATCTTAGGCAAAGGAGGTGGTTAGAGTTGTTGAAAGATTACGACTGTACCATCGAATACCATCCAGGCAAAGCAAATGTTGTGGCAGATGCTTTGAGTAGAAAGACCAAGCATCGTACTAAAAATGAGGAGACTGGTTTAATGGCAAATTTGATTGCTTTGAGAGCTATGAGTGTTGAATTGGAAATGAATTCCACATGAGGGTTATTGGCCACTTTACAAGTGCGACCAATTCTGAAGGAAAGAATTATTAAAGTTCAGGATCAAGAACCTGAATTGAGAAAGATTATTGATAAGAGTCGTAAAGGGGAAGAAACTAAATTCACACTCCGAGATGGCGTTCTGACACTAAATGAAAGACTTTGTGTTCCAAATGTGGATTAATTGCGAAGGGAGATTTTGGAAGAAGCTCATTCCTCTCCTTATGCAATGCATCCCGGAACGACAAAAATGTACCGTTCGTTGAGATCTCATTATTGGTGGCCAAGGATGAAGAAATAAGTGGTTGAACATGTCTTGACGTGTCTGGTATGTCAGAAATTGAAAGCTGAACATCAAGCCCCAGCGGGAAAATTGCAACCACTGTCCATTCCAGAATGGAAATGGGAAAAGATTACCATGGACTTTGTCTATGGTCTACCTAGGACTCAGAAGAAGAACGACGCTGTTTGGGTCATTGTGGACCGATTGACAAAGTCGGCTCACTTTATACCCATTAGATGGGGTTGTTCGCTAGAGTTACTGACAAAGAAGTATGTGGAGGAAATAGTGAGACTACATGGAGTACCAGTATCCATCGTCTCTGACAGAGATCCGAGGTTCACTTCTCGATTCTGGAAGAGTTTGCAAGAAGCACTAGGTACTCGTCTGAACTTTTCAACCGCTTTTCATCCCCAGACCGATGGTCAATCCGAGCGAACAATCCTCACTCTTGAGGAAATGTTGCGAGCTTGTGTACTGGATTTCCAAAGTTCTTGGGATGAACATTTGCCACTGATAGAATTTGCTTATAACAACCAGTACCATAGTAGTATTGGTATGACTCCATATGAAGCTCTGTATGGAAGGAAATGCAGATCCCTAGTGTGCTGGGATGAGGAAGGGTTACGGCAATTGGAGGGACCTGAAATCGTTCAGATGACAGTGGATAAGATTAAAGTGATCAGAAGCCGATTGAAGGCCACACAAAACCGGCAAAAGAGCTATGCTGATATCCACCGAAGAGAGATGGAATTTCAGAGTGGAGAGAAAGTATTTTTGAAAGTGTCTCCTTGGAGAGGTGTTTTGAGATTCCAGAAGAAGGGTAAGTTAAGTCCGAGGTATATCGGCCCTTATGAGATTCTGGAAAAGATAGGTCTGGTAGCCTAGCGACTTGCCTTACCACCAGAATTGTCTCAAGTTCATAATGTCTTCCATGTGAGTTTGCTTCGAAGATACCGATCGAATCCGTCACATGTACTGGAACCAGATGAGATTGAGGTCCAGAAAGATCTAAGCTATGTGGAGGAACCAAAAGAGATCGTGGACCGAAAGGTGAAACAACTTAGGAATCGAAGTATTCCTATGGTGAAAGTAATTTGGAAAAGTCACACGGGAGAAGAAGCCACGTGGGAGACGGAAGAAAGCATGAGAACACAATACCACTACTTGTTTCAAGGTAAATTTCGGGACGAAATTTTATTTAGAGGGGAGGAAATGTAACATCCCTGCCCTCGTACTAATTATTATGACGTGTTTGTGATCGAGTTACAAAATTGGTCTTTCGAACCAAAAAGAAAGTGAATAGTGAAAGTTTAAGACTTAATTGCAAGTGAAGGAAAGTTTAGGGCCAAATAGACAATTTGGAGGGATGGAGGATTCTAGATAAGGGAGATAAAAATCTGCCCATCCTCTTATCTCTCATTTCCTTGTCATCCCTTCCCCTCACTCTCTCCCACGTCCCTCTCTTGCTCTCTTTCTTTCACCTGGTTTCACCACCTCAAAAACCACCACCCCCTTTCAGAAACAAAGAGTGAAAGGTAGAAAGAAAAGCGTATCAAGGAGAGGAAGAAGAAGAAGAAGAAGAAGGAAGCAAAGGGGGTGCTGCCAATTTCCGTCCAGCAGCAGGACAGCCTGTGAGAAGGACGATTCCGGACATTCAAACCGTTGGATCGTCCTGAGATTTGTAGGTTGGGTTTCATACTTCTTTTTCTACGATTTGACCGTTGGGATCATCGATATGATCTCTGGTTCATCGAGGAAAGTCGCTGGACAGAAGGGGTGCGATACTGTTTTTCTGTAGCAGGACAGTAGATTAGAGGTAAGATCCTGTGCTAATCCGTCGTTGGATCGTTCTAGAAATTTGGTATGAGGTTAAGTATATTTGTTTCTTCGAATTGACCGTTCATAATGTAGTTTTGATGTCGGAGTGGTCAGGAACAATTGTTAGAAGAAGGGGAGTTGGTTTTAAAGTGAAAAGAAAGTTGTTGACAGTTTTGAAATGTCAAGTTAAAATGATTGCTGGGATCAAAAGGCTGATCCAAATGGTCTGAAATTTGGATATGTTGTAGCCCTATGAATCTAGTTTCAGTAGCAACAAGAATCAACGGATTTGGTTAAGTATCAAGGGAGAAATGATCAAAATGAGGAAGCATGGTAAAGTGTACAATCGTATACTTCCCTAGTGGTCTTATTGACATGCATGAATACAACCATGATTATGATGATTGTATACGTGTCTTGGTGCTTGAATAACCTGGAAAATTTGTATATAAAGGTAAGGATCAAGCCGGGGGCTCATCCAAAGGCAAGGGCATAGCCGAGTGAAGACAAACTGTGAGTAGATTCTAATCTTAGATATACTTCAACATAATCACAGTATTCGGGTCATGAAGCGGCTCGAATACATATCGGGGTCATGAAGAGGCTCCGGTATAATATGGGAATGTATGGGAAATGATATGGCTATGTGATATGGCTTATTTGTGTTTATTCATTATCTGCGTTTGGTATGAAGTTGGAAATGCATGAATTGTGAATGGGATATGGAAAGACATTTTGTTGATTGATTGTGTGGATTATGAGTAAATATTCGAACTTGCGAACCCGTCTTGTCTGTTTAGATTTGGAGTAAGCCATTAGGCTTACAAATCCTGTTCTGCTTGAATAACTCGGAGTCAGCTCCTCAACTTACCTTCCATTATGTGGTGACTGAGGGTGCAAAAGCACTATGAATGCTTTTGAGCCTATAGTGTCTATGTGAACTATTAATAAAAAGGAGGTGAATACATAAGAATAAGTAAAAAGGTTTTATGATACCTCGGTACAGTAGTGTGTCCTGTTTGTATCGATGTGGGTAAACCCCACGATACTCCTGTTTGAGCACTCGTGCTTCACACCGTGCCGATTGGGTGACGACCCACGGTACTCATGTTCTGTTCAGTTAGCCGGGCTGGGGTAATCCCGTGGCGACTCCTGTTTTTGTATCGGTCCGGGTTGTGTCCCGCGATATTCCTGTTGGTGCGAGCACTCCTGTTTCGTGCCTTGAGCACTCCTGTTTCGTGCCTTGTGCACTCCTGTTTGTATCGGATGGGGTTTTGTCCCGCGGTACTCCAGTTATCTGATGGCTATACATGGTTATCCTGCAGCCTTCCACTACTGTACTACCCGAGGAGTATATCATTTAGCAAATTTGAAAGTGAAATTGTATAAGCAAAATGCCTCTATCTATCACACGTTGTATGTGTTTGACTGTGATGAGTTGTGAATATGAGAACTTGATTGATTTAGTGGAATGAAAAGTAGAATAAACAGCTTAAGTCCTGTTATGTGCTAGGGTGTTTCTGCCCAATACTGTTTTTGTATTGATGTCGATCTGAGCTTAGAATTTATTCACTGAGCGACGACTCATCCTTCGTCATCATTTTTCCTCAGATCAAGATCAGAAGTAAGGTTTGTACTGTAGATATCGGGACTCAAGCGTGAAGGGAAGCCATGAGGTGGGCGGAGGACTCCGAACTCCTTAAATGTTTTATGTTGTGTGGATTTTGTAATAAAGCGGACTTCCCCGGCTTTCTGTTTTGACTGTGATGAAAATGTAAATTATGGTTTGAAGTTTGAAAAAAAAAATATATGTAAAGCTCGGGCCCGAGAATGTTTAAACTCGATGTATTTTACTGTTTCGTTTTGTAATATAAAGTAAGGGTTTCACAGCATGATCGGTTGGCGCCCTATATAGAGAGGACCGGGTTGGTATGCTAAGGCATTTCATGCGGATCGAAATCGACAACGATCTGCTTACGGCAATGGCGGAGCGATGGCGCCCCGAAACCCATACGTTCCACCTTCCGGAGGGGAAATGATGATCACCCTCAAAGATGTCGCGATCATCACTGGGCTGCCGATTTCTGGAGAGGCCATCATTGGGAGCACTACCAAAACCGAATAAGGTTGGGGGCCGCTCATTCGTGATCGTTTGGGCTTTGACATGCCGACCACCACACCAATTCAAGGAGGGGGGCATCCACCATTGAATGCGGGACAAGTGTCGGTCCCGTGGCTCGTTACTCACATCCAAAATGAGGTGGCCATCGACAACGAGACACCGGAAGATAAAGTGGAGCATTATGCACGCATCTACCTCATTGGTTTGGTCGGTGGATTTCTGTTCCCCGACAAGTCAAACCAGTGGATTCAAGGCATATGGTTGCCATTGCTCCTTGGTGATTGGGACGCAATAGGGGAAAAGAGTTGGGGATCAACGGTGTTAGCTGGCATATATCGGGAGCTGTGTACTTGTTCGAAGTTGGGAGCGAAACAAGCTAGTGCTGCGATGTTCATCCTCCAGCTCTGGGTATGGGAGCATCGTCCAATGTTCGCACCTCAAGACCCACGTCCATACCGGAGAGCAGATGATGAGCTACACTTTGTGCAAAATCTCCCCTACGGTGTCAAGTAGGTTTATTCCGTACTTAGCCTAATTTAAATTTATTTCATGCTTAGCTATATTTAAATTAAGTTTATTTTGTACTTAGCCTAATTTAAATTTATTCCATGCTTAGCTATATTTCAATTAAATTTATTTCGTACTTAGCCTAATTTAAATTTAGTCCATGCTTAGCTATATTTCAATTAAAATTCCGTACTTAGCCTAATTTAAATTTATTCCATGCTTAGCTATATTTCAATTAAATTTATTCTGTACTTAGCCTAATTTAAATTTATTCCATGCTTAGCTATATTTCAATTAAATTTATTTTGTTCTTTTACTTACAAGGTGGATAGGAGCAAATACAAATGACCATCAACCTGAGCACTCTTTACTGTTTTATCGTTCTGAGTTAGATAGGCCTTGGTGGAACCAGGTAATCATGCTTTATAATATTTTAATAATTTAAATTCTTTCAATGTAATTGGTCACTAATTGCAAATTTTGAATGAGTATAGGTTACATGGGATCCATATCCACGTGAAGTAGTCGAGCTGCATCATCTCAGACACCCCCAGGATCACGAGACGTGGTTGTGCAAGGTGCCATTGATCTGCTGGCACATCGTGGAGTGGCACCTACTCGATCGATCCTTGAGGCAATATCGAATGGAGCAACCAATTCCACAAACCCCGCCTCAAGGTTTCAAGGAGCTCCATGTCATCGACCTTCGACACGCGGCAAAGAATTGGCTTCTAAAGCATCATTTCTACATCAACATTTGGGAGAATAGAGGGACATGGGTGCAGAGTAACCATTTTACGATTGTGGCCACGTCTACCTCCACCCCATACACCTGTTTCCACTGCAAATATCCCTTCACTGCGATCGAAAAGAACAACTTTATGCTTACTTGATTTTTCTTTGTTCTTCTGCATTTGCTCAAAGACGTCATGTGCTATCGAATGACCATATATCTCCCTCCCTATCGCTAGCTGCAGCCGATCCACCCGCCACTTGTTGACCTTCCAGTATGACATCTCCACTATGACAGAAATAGGCATCGCTCGAAGGCCCTTGTACACATTATTTATACTTTCTCCATGGTTGGTAGTTGCAATGCCCCATCTGGCTCCGTTGTCCATATGGAACGTCCACATGACCAACTCTTGATCTTCAGCCCATACTGCTCCAGCTCGGTGGGTCTGACGGATCGTCTTCATCTTCTGCTCGTACTTTTTTGGCTGATGTGCAACCGCTGCAAGGTGAACAAAATCAAACTGGTCAATACATGATAAATAACAAATTATTAAATACATAGTTAACTCGCATTAAAGGACATTAGTACCTGCATGCCACAATTGATTTTTGATGTCTTTCTTCTTCCCAAATTTGTGTTGGAAATTGGCGAGCCAGTGTCGAATACACCAGTGCCATGTCCATCCTCACTCGTCAGGAAAACCACCCACTGCATTCCTAATACCCGCGTGTCGATCGGATATAATCGTAATACCCTCTCGCCGTGTCACATGTTCGTGTAGTTGGTCAAAGAACCATGCCCAACTTAAGCTGTTCTCCCCTTCCACTAATGCAAATGCAAGCGGGAAAATTCGTATGTTTCCATCAACGCCAGTGGCAATGAGAAGAGTTCCTCTGTACTTCCCAGTAAGGAAAGTTCCATCAACCTAATTAAAAAATAGGAAGTAATTAGTATGAAATTTACTTAGCAGGAAAGAATACAAACATTTCAAATAGTAAACAGTTATTAAAATACCTGAATAACTGGTATGCAGAACGTAAACCAGTTAATGCATGGTTTGAAATCCAAAAAAGATGGTGAAACATCAACTTCTCCTATACTCGAACTTGATCCTCGGTGTATACATTGTTGTATATTGGCACGAAAACAGTCCCAGGGTTGGACTCCTCCATTGCGGCCATAAATCTAGGGAGTAAAGCATACGAATTCTCCCAATCACCATACACCTCAGCCATGGCTTTCTGCTTTCCATGCCATGCTTTTTTGTACCTTAGCGTGTAAGAATGTCAATCCTTCACCTCAGCCATGATAGCTTTGACCTTGATATCTGGTTGTGCTTCGATAAGGTGCTTAATAGTTCTCCCAACTTTCTTTGATTTAAGTTGCCTGTGATCCTGGGAACGTATGGACGAGGAGCAAGTGTGGTTGGTCTCAGCTTTTCGAATCACCCA